AAAATATTTTCGAAAAATTTTAAAGTTTTTTTAAATTCAATTGTTTTCTTTTCAATCAAAATCGAACTTGAAAATTCAAATAAAACAAAAAAAAACATTTCAGCAATTTAAAAAAATTGTATGCTCCTATAAAAATAGAGCGTTATCTAAAACAATAATTACAAGTTACTAAAAAGGAACCAAACTCCAATATTAACAAGGAAAACCTCTATAAAAAGCTAGTACAAGCTCATACATGGTGTGAAACGTTCTGATAAGTCTTCAACCCAATTCAGTAATTCTTTATTCCAATACAATATTCGGTATCCCATCGAATAGAATTGGTAAAATTAGCGTTTTCTGTCAAAATAAGATCGATAAATCGTCTTTTGACCGAAAAGGTGGTAAAAGCAGAGCTTTGATTTCGTTTCTTTTTTCACTAAATCATGTATTACAAATGAGCGCCACACTGTGTCGATTATTGTATAATACGGAACTTTTTTTACTTTTTTGTCTTAATTTCTTTTAATACATTGGTGAGGAAGATTTTTGGCGTAGATAAATTTCCATTCAATACAACTACCGTAATTAAATAGAGACGAAGCTGAGCTTCGCACCACTTGCAATAAAAACCACTAAAGTCGAAAAAATCGAAAATTTTGAGCTAGATCCATCGATAAGGCTAGTTTTGAAACAATAACGAGCCAAGACAATAGAATGTGAAACTAGCATCGAAAGAAAAGTTATCATGCTGTAACAAAGCCGGAAATACCTTAGCAGAAAGTCTTTAGGCCGAAAATTTTGCGCAATAAGCGGCCATTAAACTGGTATAATATAAACCGAAATTTATCAAGCCGAAAAAAAACAAAAAAGCCGAAAAAGTTGTTGGAAAACTATAATTTCTCTTAAAATTTTTAGCAGGTTGTGCGATCCAGAGTAAAACAAAAAAATAATAATTATCTTGAAACCACTCGAAATTAAACCACTAAGCCAGTATAAAAGAAGCCGGAACATTTACGCCAGAAAAGGTTTGAAAAAAGAACAAACAAAGTTTTAACAAATCGGGTTGAAAAAATCACAACCAACACAAAAAGTAAATTCTGAAAATGACGGATATTTAAAATAACACACTCAACCATGCTCAAAATTGGCAACCGCGAGAAGTAGGATTTTCGAAGAGGACGACGATGTGGAAGAGTCCAGATGTGAATCTGTGGACAAAGTTGTTTGCGGGAAAAAAGTCTGGTACCCGATTGCAATGCCCTTGCTATGGCAAGGGCAACGAAAGATTGGCTCGAGAAAAATATCACATAGAAGCTCTTCCAGTGATAATATGGAATCTTAAAAAACATCAAAAAATCTAACCTATCTTTTCTTTTTGACGACACATAATTGATATTTATCTTTTTCGAAAGCTCTTGAAAGTATATATTTTTTGTTTTTAAGCTTATTTTTTGCAAGAATAAATTTGATCTGAATTAACTGTAGTTTTTACAGTGATCGGCGTCAGCTTTATTATGGATTTAGTAACTTGTTTTTGAATCTTATACTCAAACCCATCCCTTTTCAAATTTCAAAATCATAACTATAATTGGAGGCTTCTGTGCTCCTTGTATTATTTCGTTATGAGTTTTTGAATAAATTTACAGCTCAAACATTTTCCTAAAAATTCTGGGTATTAGATCAGCTTCCAAGTTAAAAGTTAGATGCAAATGTAGGTCCTTTGTCAAAAATAGCATTTAGACAGTTACCAAGCGGCATTTAGCAAACTCAAGCAAAAAAATAGTTAGCCTTCTTCTAAACAAAGCGAAAGAGAAACGTGCAATTAAATTTAGAAATGAGGCACAGACAATATTACCAACCGGAATTTAGTTAATTAGACAAATCAGTCACAGACAATTTGACCAATTTTCCTCCGACTAAACTTGAAAAAAAATCATCAGAATAGATTTCAACTCCCGGTTTGATTTTAACTCTCCGAATATATTTTAACTCTAGATAACCGGCTCTAAGTTTTGTATAGACGCCTACCCTCTGTTGCAAAGGTTCCTACACGTTGGCGCAGCTGCAGCGGTCACAATTAACTATTGAAAAAAAAATGTATAATTTTTGGTGTTAGGTTATTTGCTACTCGGAGTTCAATTTTGGGCGAAATGTCAGCGGCTGAATTTTCTGTACATTTTCGGCGGAAACCTTCGAATTCCAAGCCAGCGAAATGTCCGGGCACGTACAGAAATATGCCTTGAAAGAAATTCAACTTCAAAAAGTTGCAGATACTGAAAAAATTAGTTTGAGCAGAGTGCGGAAGCTTTGAGACCTATTAGATTGCCTCAATTTTTGTAAGAATGATTTTTCGAACCCCCTGCATTTTGGATTATTTCGCCGAGTATCGTAGATATGCGCAAAAAATGGGGCATTTAGTCCAACAAAATAAAAAAACTGACAACTTTCGATCCTCAAAATCTGTAAGAAAATCGCTCTCAGGTTAAAAACCTTTTCGCATTTGAGCTCAGAAGGTCGTTATCATCAAGAGGATAAAAAAGCGTCCCTCAGTAACTAAAATTTCGATAAAATTTGTTTTACAGTGCCAAAAATTAAATTTATAAATTTGAATGAAAAAAGTTGACTGATTTTATGACACTACGCTCGTAAGCTCGCTTGTGTGAAAATTTAGAATATACCTGAATGTTCAAACAGACTTACTTGCAACTCTTTCACTCGTCTGGCTGGATAACTTATTACTGACCATTTCAAGGACAATAAAATTGCTTCAAAATTAACGAAATTACTTCAAATCGCTTGAAAACGCCTATACGGACATAAATTTCAAACAAATTTTGCTAGTATATGTTCTGGAAATACTTATTCCTTGTAATATGGTACAGTTTCAATGGTATATCTTCAATTCTAAGAAGGTATACCCTACCCAAAACCAATAAAAACTACCATGATTTTCGAATTGAGGGCAGGTCAAATTGAACCTAATTCTAACCGTCCGGAAATTGTCTGGAAATAATCTCTATGTGTATCGCCGGTTTGTTTGGACTTATATAGAGCCCAAATTTTAGTGCAAAGTCTGAGCGAAATGAAATAATAGACACAAGTAACAAGTAAACGTGAAATGACGTCGTATTAGCTTCATTTAGACTATATTGTTTGAATCGTCAAGGCTTTATACTAAGGTTGGTATGAGACAGATCTGTGGAGAGCTTAAACAGTCAAAAAGAGGAATCGTTTCCATGAATTATAACAACAATATCAGCGGGGAAAATTTAAATTGAAGGGAAATTAGAAGCAGAGGCGAAGCTGAGTTTCGCACCACTTGGGATACAAAACGAAAAAAAAAGAAAAAATGTCGAAAAAACTAGATCTATAAAAATGAACAATGCTAGTTTTGAAACAAAAACATATATGCCAAGTCAATAGAATATGAAATAAGCATCGGAAGATAATGTAACCGGAAGGAACACAGCCGAAAATAGTCAGAAACCCTTTAAGCCGAAAAATCAACAAGACTTAAGACTTATGAAAAGTTAATAAGTCCACCTCCCCGCACCGGAGTTCCATGGATAATAATCGATTATATTGAATTTTCGTGGTCTGTCTCAATAAATTTCGATAATAATTGATTATAATCGATTAAAAATGAATTATAATGAAACTATTTTTCTAATCAATAAAATCTGATTATAATCGATTATTTTTGAAAGAAAATGAAACTTGTTTTCGAGGCAAAATAATCCATTTTTAATCGATTATAATTCGAAGGGTTATTCTTGAAATTTACAATTTTGTTCAAAATTATCTCATTTCCTGTTTAGTGCGTTTGCTACGAATTACGTTTCATAAAATGTTACATTTCAGAACAAAAATTATATTTTTTTTGTCTCTACTTTTTTTAATTCATCGCAGTTTAACTAAAACTTCATTTCACTGTTTTTTCAACCAAAACCCTAATAAAACTAAAATTTCAGGGGTTTGAATTAGATTTTCATAGCTTCCCCCACCGGAGTTCCATAGATAATAATTATAAGTTTTTTAACCCAGTTTTTTTATCCCCCCTCCCCCCCCCCCCCCAGTTTACTGCCCCCACCCCTCCCCCCCCCCCCCCCAGTTTACCAGTCCTCCATTTACCCTCCCCCAGTTTACCCGAATTTATTTACCCAACCCCTCCCCCCCAGCTTCTCTTCACCCCCCAGTTCTGAAGCCCCCCTCACCCTCAAAACACAAACACGCACAGACAAAATATTTTGCTCGTTTAAAGATGCAATATGAGCCGAAATAATATAGGACAAAACGTATTAAGCCGAAAAAAAGGAAAAACGGAAAAACCGAAAATAAATTATTGTCATGAAAATTTTGAACTATTATTTCTATTAAAATATTTGGCATTTTGAGCGATCCACAGGTGACCAAAAAAAAATTGGTTTACGTTGAAACGACTCGAAATCAGGTCACTAAGCCGAGAAAAAACAGGCCTAAATCATTTGGGCAGAGTTAAAATTTTAAGCGAAAAAAAATGTATACAAAGTCATGATTAGTAAAATTACAAACAGCAGAGGTAAATCAGAACTGTAAAAGCAACTATATCGTACAAAAACTTTTTTAAATGATTCTAGCATTCAGATTCGAACCCAGGACCTTTGACGTCCCAGTCGCATTCGTTACTTCCAGACCAAAGGTACCGGAGACCAGGGGCGGATCTAGGATTTTCTCGAGGGGGGGGGGGGCGGATTTTTAAAAAATTTTCGAAAAATTTGACGACCTTTTTTTTAGGTCGATCAGATTGATTTTCCGAGCTCTCCCAAAGCAGTAAAAAGACCCTGTTTCGGCCAAATTTTCTGCTCCGCAGGCACCTTTTGAAAAAAACAGGTCACAAAAAAGCCGTTTTTGGGCACTTTTTGGAAAATTTTGACAAAAAAAACGCGTTTATTAGGCGCGCGCAAAAATGATTATTAAAAAATCAATTCTGAACTCGTGACAACTTAAAACATCGTGATTCATATCTCGAAAAAAATAAGTTCCAGATAAATTATATATTAATGAAATATCAAAACAGAACCGAAATTGGAAAATTCGCAGAAATCAGAATTATCAAGTTAGCATTGATGTTGGAAGTTTCAACCTAAATACAGGAACCGCGTGTTTTTATTCAGTTGAATTTGACATTGTTGTTGTTGTTGTTTTGATGCTGCGATGAGTTAATGTGAGCTGCATTCCCATTGGCCAATCCCACTTCATGTGGCAGTGATGGGAACTGGTTAGGCCAAAGGTGTGCTGCAGAGAAATTGTGTCCGATTGTCTGCTGGTGACCTGGCTCCAGAACTGGCATCTGTCGAGGAGCCGATCCAGGGAACTGGTTCGGTTGTTGAGGCAGAGCTTCCGGCGGAGCGTTCCGAGTTGTCTCTATGTAGTTCGCGAGGTAGTCAAAATTTTTCATATTCCAAGGAATCGGATTCCCTTCATTGGCAGTGTTTAAAGAAAAGTACGAGTTCTCAAAGTTGTTCAAATTCGGAAACGGTTCTGCCATTTCTTCGTTCGGCGCGAAGAACGCGCTTTCAGTTTTGGGATTAGTTCCAGACACTAGCGAAACCGTAGGAGTCCCTATGTTGTACGTGCATTCTTCTTGCAGAAGCATCTCATTTAACAACTTGTCAATTCTAACCGAACCGCACATGATTGAATTTTTGAGCTGGTCTTTCATTTTGTAGGCCAATTTTGACAGTGGCGCTTGGAGAGCTAAGATCTCAGCGAATCGCGTAGTGGAATTACCGTCAAGGAATCTTTCAGAAATAGACCTCTCAAGTTGCTCGTAAAGGTCTCTTCGCACAGTTTTGATTCTTTGCGAGTCTTTCAGATTTCGAGCAAGAGGTTCGAAGAAAATGATGGCTTTTATTAGGACAAATTCAGTAGTTTCTAGTCTCATTTCTCGCATTGGTTCAACTATATCCGTCATTATAGCCGAAACTATAGAGATCATATCGGGATATAATAGACCAGTGTTAGTCGTCAGAATGTAGTTATTACCAAGTACTAAACTATTTACTTTACTATACAGTGACCGCTTAGCGACGCCAAGAATCAGTTGTTCACCAGCGCTTGCTCTTAGAAGCGAAACTTGGTCGTCCAAATTTCCGAGCATGAAAACAGGTAATGTTTTCGCCCACTCAACGAGAGCTTTCAATTGTTGATTCATAGATTCGCAGAGCTCAGTTAACGAACTTAAGGGTTTCAAAGTTGATTCGGCCACGAGAGGAATGAACGGACTCTTTTCCGAGTTCAAAAGCTCCGCGACCGTTATTCCAACTGGAGGTTGTTGCATATGAACCCTCGGCAACTCATTCACTCCTGGAAGCGGGGTTGGGGGAGGAGGTATCGGGAACCCGTCGTTGCTACCCTCCAAATTCCGACCCTGGCTCGAAATCCGATCCCGTTCATTTTGGACTGCCTCTTTTTTCATACCGAACTGATAACATTTTCTCAATCTACAAAATCGACACTGATTTCGCTTGTCTTTGTCTATAGTGCAATTTCTTTGCCATCGACAAACGTAGCTGTTGGACTTTCGGATGCTTCGCCTAAAGAACCCCTTGCAACCATCGCAACTCGAGGCGCCGTAATGTTTCCCAGTACTCTTATCCCCACAAATCAGACAAGCAGAGGAATGCTGTTGCTTGAAATGCACTAATTGACAGGCGTTCGAATCGATTCCGTCCATAGGCAGTATTTCCGGGTCATGTAAATTATCTTCGACGGATGAAATCGCTGGATTTTTGGCCAGAGGGCTTTGGACTAGGGGCTCTGATTGCGTGACAGGCGGGTTTATTGATGACAAATATTCAAATTTTTGACGATCTCCATATTGGTCAGACATGCTTAGCTGATTAGCCAAAATTGACAGTTTTCTAATTTTCTGATCAAAAGTCACAAAAGAGTTCAGGTCAAGAGGTCGAGGGTCTGAAGAATCCCGGTCTGATTTTTCAATTCAGTTGCTAAACTCGGTTGAAAGTTCAAAAGGTATTTCGAAAGCTTACAACTTCAAAGTCTCAAATTTGAGCAAATGTGATATTGCATCGATAAATTTGAATTCTTTGTGTAGCTTCTACGGATGGTTAGAAAGTTTGAGGTTGGCGTGCGTAAATGTGAAACTAAGCCTATGATCAGAGTATTTAAATTTCAGATTTCGGTCAATATTTGTTTCCTATCGGGGTTATGAAAAGATACATACTTCATAAATAGTCAAAATTCCAGTGAGCTAAACGTTAAGAGATGACATTGAATCTGATATACAAAGTTTCTAGTTCTCAAATTTCAACAATCTTACCCAAACTGTTTCATATTTAACCTTTAAATGCCATAACTTGTCACGCTGGATTTTAATATTAATTTAGTCAACTTAATAGTAAATAGTAATATTATCTTACAAGGATTCACAAGGTGATTTCTGCAGAGGCGAGTACATGTCAAGTTACTTAATCAGACTAGAAGAGATGACAAATTCGGGAGCAAATGGAAGAAAAACAACAGTGCAAAACAAGCGGCGAAGTTATGTGAGTAGATGGATAACTTTGGAAAGGGGGGAGCGGGAGTGAGGAAGTGTTGGTAAATGTCCAAGCCATTCACACGAATTAAGCATCGTCCCCACCCAAAGGTCCAACACATCGCGGTTATTTTTTGCAAGCTGATTGAGCTTTAACTTTTGTAGAGACGACAATTCACAAGATGGCATTCAATCAATTTTGTTCGAACTCTTTGCAGATACTTACTTGGATTTTTTGAACTTTGTTCACAAAAAGCGCTAAAAAATTTCGTTAAGTAATTTTACTGGAGTAGAGCTGAAATTTTTCTAGACAACCAAAAAATAAGCTTATTGTAAGCCAAGTATATTCACTCTAAATTAGACTAAATCTAAAAATTTAAACTACTTTTTAAAAATGGAGACAAATTTTTGGAATCACAACTGAATATGATATGATAAATTAATATGATATTTAATATGATAATCATTAGACCAATTTCAAGGATTAATATGATATAACACTCGACCAATTCCAATGATAATTCGTTCTGCCTGATTTTTGCCTGAAAACAGAAAAATTAGCCAGTTGCTGTGCAAGTAGCTCATTGTTTGAGACTGGCATGTATCAACACTGAGAAATATTTTTGGAAATTTTCATGTCGTTCGAATTACGACTAAGAAGGCTTTAATATGATATATCACTCAACCCATTCTGTTGATCGTTTTTAGGCCTGATTGAGCGATTAAAAAACACTAAAGAAAAAAACAAGAGTAGCCGGTTGCTGTGTACTAAAAGCTCCGACTACGTTAATGAAAAATTGGGTAGTTAATTGCTTGCTATGATGAGAGGAACTAGACGAAATCTTAGAAGCTAAAACCTTAAAACAATACTTATGTAGGCATAAAGTACAGCAGTTTCATAAGGAAAAAGACAAAAAACTGTACAGTTTATTGCATGTTATGATGAAAGGTAAAGGTGAGAAAACGGAACCGAATGAACCGAACCGAAATAACCAAAAACCGAGCCGAACAGAAAGTTTTGAAAGGAACCGAACCGAACCGAACAAAGTTTTGAAAGGAACCGAACCGAAATATTTGGAAAAAAAATACAAAACAATTTTCGAGAATTGGGAAGGTCACAAGAATTTTTCTGGGTATTCCTGGGGCAGCAATTCTGGGTATTCCTGTTCTGAGCAATTCATTCTTTTGCTCTTAAGTTTTCTTTAAAACAAAAACGAAAGACCGAACCGAACCAAAATTAGCCAAAAACCGAACCCAAAATCTTTTTGAGCGAACCGCTCATTCCTAATGAGAGGAAGTACACGAATTATAGTAGACGAAACTTTACAAAATAACTTCATTAGGCATAAGGTACAACATTTGCATTCGAACACTGCGCAGAGGTGGAGCTGCGCTTCGCAAATACTTCCGAGAACACGACCAAAAGCCTTTCTATCAAGTGAAATCAGAAAAAGTAGAAATTAGCCTCGAATTAGCAAAAACTCGGCTACCTGTAGGATTCGAATCTGCTACCTACTGCAATCAGGAGACTTTGAGTCTCAGCACTATCCACTCAGCCACGCAAGCTTAACAACCGAGACAAACACTAGTCACGAATAAAGCAGCTAGATAAATCAATCAACTGCCAATGTCATTCAGCAAAAATGGCACCAAATACAAATTGACTCAAATTTGCAAGTAATAATTTGGAATGTAACAAACTGAAGGCATCCACAATAATTTTATATGAAACAAATCGCAAGGCATAAAGCCACATTATGTATAAACTATGCATTTCAAAAAGTTGCGGGATATGTTAAGCTAGAAAAATTCTGAAATCGAGTTTTTACACAGAGGCGAAGCTGAGCTTCGCATCACTTGTGATACTAAACAAAAAATCAAAAAGGTCGAAAAAATTAGATCTATTAAAATTGGGATACAAAACGAAAAAAAAAATGTCAAAAAAACTAGATCTATGAAAATGAACAAAGCTAGTTTTGAAACAAAAACATATATGCCAAGTCAATAGAATATGAAATAAGCATCGGAAGATAATGTAACCGGAAGGAACAAAGCCGAAAATACCTTGTCAGAAACCCGTAAAGCCAAAAAAACAACACGACTCCCGACATCTGAAAAGTTAATACGACCACCTCAACATCAAGGATTTGTTCGTCAAAGAAGCAATATGAAGACATTAAGCCAAAGACTAAGAAGATGTTAAGTCCCCCTCAACCTCAAAACACAGACACGCACACGCAAAACTTTTTTCGCTTGTTGAAAGACGCAATATTACGTCAATAAGCCGATATAATAAAAGCCGCAAACTATCAGGCCAAAGAAGGAAGTCAAAAAAGCCGGGAAAAAAATGTTATCATGAAAAACTTAACTATATTTCTATTAAGAAATTTAGCATTTTGCGCAATCCAGAGGTGAGCATTTAAAAAATATTTCAGTTGAAACGACTCGATATTAAGTCACTACGCCGATAAAAAATAGGCCGAAATCAATTGGGCAGAACGGAGTTTTTTAACGAAAAAAATATATATATATACGAAGTCAGTTTTAGTAAAAGCAACTATAATGTAAAAAACTTTTCACAAAAATCTACAATATGGCAAATAAGCCGACAAAACATAAGCATATAATAATAAGTCGACCATTTTTTTTGAAACAGACTATTTCCTGGTGTCCCAGGCGTATTGGGTGTGCCAGAGACGCTTAGAAATTTGAATTCATTATGAACCAAGAGCCCAATTGATTCAAGTGATTCTGTTAAACAAGTTGTTAACCCGAAAAAAAGTATATATTCCAGTTTGATAACGCTTGCTAATCGCAAGCGTAATTATTGTTATGTTGTTTGAAACAAATCACTTTTTTCGGTTCATTTGATGAATTAAGAATGCATCAACTGTGTTAACTTATTATTATTCGAATGTTAAAGCACATGCCATTAAAAATCTGCAAAAGTGCTTCCAAAGTGCAATATTTGCGAACTAAGCTGGAAAAAAAGAAGGATCGTACTAATACACTCGCTTCGCAAGTGTAAATAGCAAAACAAAAAATGTACTGATTTTTGCTCATATATTTTTCTCATATATTCATATATATATATATAAAACTGTTCTGATTTTTTTTTCATAGACATGTTCTGGTTTCTCAGGAAATAATATATGAAGCTTCAAAAGCTAGTTTTCCTGGAGTAAAACTGAGTTAAAACGCCTTCACACTCGCTTTATTCGCACAAAATTTGACTGAATAGAAAAAACATACAACTAGATTTTCTCGGCAATGGGCATTTTCAAAATGCTTAAATTTCAATGGAGCTACAGTTTTAAAAGCTATATTACGAGACATGCGTGATTTTGCGTTGTTAGAAAATTAGAACAAGCCTGAATACGAAGTTTCGCCCCACTTTCAATGATCGAAACAATGATCACAGAAAAATCTTTAAAATCAAGCTTAACTTTTGAGCTATGCTATAATTCGAACCAGGTGACAATTTTTATTAACTGAACAAAGAGAGCAGAAAAACATTCAGCAGATGAAAGCATAATTTCTTTCGATTATCTTGATTAACCGCAACTTTTCAAAAAAACTTTTTCAGTTGCTTAAGTTACTTTTTGCAGTTCGAGCAAGTTTATTTTTTATTTATTGTACACCGGTTTAGACGTTTATGGGGGGTGTTTTCAAATTTACTCTGACTCATGAATTAAATTTTTTTTACTAATTTTTATTATTGCTACAAAAATACGTGAATTGAAGCGAATACGCGACGCAATGTTTTATGAACACGAGTACGAGTACCTGTATCAAGATGAAACTTAAGAAGGAGTGCCAAACGTAACGTAACGTTACCAACTATGGTATTTGTGTACTAGCTCAAATTAAATAATCAATATATTTATTTTTTGGTCTGACTGGATTTGAGCAATAAAATTTGGAGCCGAAAACCAACACCACTACTCGTGTACTATAGTATACCATCACTGAAAACAGCTCGAAAACTAATGATCAAATGGTTGTTCATGCTTTAACGTTATATTTGTTAAAAGCAACTATTTTAATAGCAAAACTTAACCAACTGAAAAATAATTCAAAAATCAGAGAAAAAACGTTGACTGGCTCTGATACAATCATTCATAGAGTTAAACACCTATTGCAGCAAAATTATTATTCACATAACTGATTGAAACATGCTCGATACTAGTGAAGAAAATTTTGAGAGAATAGATGGCGAGGATAGTTCGGATGGAGCAGAGCAAAACAATCAAGACATTTTTGAAAACACCACCAGGAAGAATCTGCCAGCTGTAAGTTTCTGTGCCCTCATATCGAAGAGAAAACAAGAAACTAATTTATGAATAGTTTTTTTTCTACACACCTTAAAAAGCAAGACAATAATCACTTTTTACTTAAAATAATTTACCTCAATTTTAATTGATACAAAACAGAACTAAACTGCGCTTTGTCTTTGAAAACTTTATACTTTTTGAGGTTGTGTAACTCTTGAAATTTCTTGAAATAAATCAAACCAATTTATTGTTTCAGGAAAAGATTCCGAACGCAAAAGAATCGCGTCCAGGCCAGAGCACAAAACTACTTCGCTACAAAGAAGACGACGACAACGACCCAAGTGCGGTTCTACAACAGCAGAACAGCCAATTGAGTACCAGTCTCGCCGAGCGCACATGGAAACACCCCAAGTTCTCGAAAGTAACCCATACAATCATTCTTTACTGTGTTATGCTTGGCATGGGATCCATGCATACTGTTGTTGGTCCTACACTCTTGGATCTAGCATTCAAGTTAGACGCTACTGTCGGCGAAATCTCTATTATTTATACTTTCCAGGGTTTTGGTTTCATGGTCGGAACCATTGTCGGAGGTCTTTTAATAGATTATATCCCTAAGATGGTCTTTCTAATTGTGGTCACAATTCTGACTTCCTTGGTCACCATTTCGATTCCACATTGGCCTACAGTTTGGGCCATGTGTATATGCTTCTTCCTTCGAGGCACCAGTATCCGTGCACTGGAAATCGGCTGCAACGTCACCCTGCTTGACCTTTGGGGCGTCAAGAGTTCGCGACCTATGCAGGGTCTTCATTTCTTCATGGCTATTGGCTGTGCAATAGGACCACTTATCGTCCAGCCATTTTTGGGCGAGGCCGTGGAAACCCCAATTAACCCAGACTCGGTCGCTTCAAACACAACAACTTTGTTGCCTAGTAACGCCTCGGCTTTCACAACAATGGCTCCTCTAAACGACATCTCGCGATTTAAAAGACATGCCCCGAACACGCAATTCGTCAACGATCTACAATCTTCTGAAATTGAGCTTGCTTACATGGTTATTGGGATTTACCTGTTTTCAATTGCAGTCCTTGCCTTGATTGCGTTCCTTGCGTCTCCAAAGCCACCATCAATGGCACAGCAAGAAGAGCAGGAAACCGAGTGCCTGGAAATGAGCAACAAAATGAAACGAAAGGACTTGTACTTCAAAATAAAATTCATTATCATTGGAACCTTCATTCTATTTTTGTACTTCGGATCAATTCTTTCTTTTGACAGTTACCTTACAACCTTCTGTGTCGAATCTAAACTCAGAATGTCGCAATCAAGAGGAGCTCTTTTGAGCACCGTTTTCTGGAGCGCGTTTATCATCGCAAGACTAATTGCATGTTTCTACGCAGGAGCTATTAGCGACCTTAAAATAATTATCGTCGACTTGGTGGGAATTGTTCTAAGTGCACTGCCAATGAGTTTCTTTGTCGAATACCATGAATGGGTTATATGGCTGAGCATAATCGTGTATGGCTTTTTCATGGCCTCCCTGGGACCCGCTGCCATTTCGTATACTAACATGTACATAGACGTCTCGGGTAAAATCGCAGCAATTTACATGCTCGGAGCCGCAGTCGGTGAAACAGTCGCCCCATTCGTAATCGGGAAACTATTCGAATTAGAACCAATGGTTCTAATGTATACAGTCACAATTATAAGTGTAATGTTGATACCACTGACTGTTTTGTGTGTGAAAATAGCGCACAAAAGAGGAAAGAAATTGAACCCCGTACCAAGTCCGAGTCCAGTCGCTGCTCCAATGATTAAACGGAAAAGTTTGATACCTTCAGAAACTAAAAGCCATGATGGAAACGACAGCTATATGAAATAATAATTCAAATCATTGATTAAAAATTAAAATGATTGTAATAAAAACTTAGTTTGTTTGTTTTGACATCAAAGACCAAAATGGACGAAGACTTCGACTTCATCGCAAAAACTATTTGTATGTTAAATCTGCAGATCGCAGAAAAGCTATCAATAGTTTCGTATATATTTTCCTACATCAAAGATTCAGTTAATTTGTTCGGCGAAGCGGTCTATTGCGACTCAATGTGTTTTGGGTTATAAACTTCATGTGATATACTCTACTTATTGGAGACAAATTTGGTAAGGCTGAGCTATTCTAGAATCTAGAGTTCAAGCAGAGAATTCTAATACTTCAAGATCGAAGTAGAGCTGAAAACCTCTGTACACCCTTTTACTTTTTTTAGAGTCAACTAGTCCGGAAGTTAATTATTTAGATTCACCAGAACGCATATATCCAGCGCTCTTTAACCTATGAATTACTTGAAAGATCTCACCTTACAAATTGCAGCGCACGTGCGATTTGAACCAGTAATCATATGATTGATGGGCACCATCACTACCGGAGCGCCAATGTCACAAGCATATTAGTTATAGACGCTTCGCTGTTGCTATGAATTTTGTGAATTGGTCATTAAAAATGGTCCTTAAATTTAACTGTTAGTTGTAACTGAATACTCAATCTGATTTGGGAGAGGGAATCCAGAAATCGATGTGATAATCTCAAATCGAACGCCTTCGTACTGTGCTAATTTTCTTGGAAAACTTGAAACACTTAAGCCTACCTTTCCTCATTTAAAATAAAAGCGACCAGGAGATTCAAAAATTTTCAGCCTACTGCAAATGCATACAAACGTTTGAGGGGTGGGAAGTAGGTGCATTCACTTTGCGAAATTTCGACACTAAATCATTGCTAAACAAGTGTAGCCGGTTTATGTGCAGGTAGCACAGAAAGTTCCGACAACATCAATGCTGAAAATGGAAAAAAATTTCTTGTATAAGTGACAATGAACGTCATTTAGGTCGTATTTTTTTCCGTTTTTTTTTTCAGGGAAAAGTTCTAAGAATAGTTCACGCTCAAATTTGCCTTTTCCCGGCTTCAATTTGGATTTTTGAAGTATTCAATTCCTTCGTCTAAGAGAAGGCAAACTCAACTATTGAACAGCAGAAGTTTAAAGGTCACAAAAATGCATTTAAATGCTTTTAAATTTTAGCTTTTCCAGCTGAATTTAAAAAATTATTTCTTGATCCTGTTTTCTCAAATTGGGGCTAATTTCATCAAAAAAACTACTAATCATAAATTATTGAATTTTGAAAAGCTATAGCAGCATAATTTTTTCAAAAATTACGTCAGTATTTTTCAAAAACTTTAGCAGCATAAGTTTTTCAAAAATTACGTCAGTATTTTTCGTCTGTTTCTTTACATTCACTGACACTTGTCCAAACATAAGTTTTTTCGCTGTTTTTGTTTCAATTTGTGTCATATTCTGTGCAAGGTGGGATGAGAGATTTTCATTGAGACAAGTTGCGTAATGAAGGAGGGAACCCTTTTTCACTTATGGTGGCAAAGGGTCGCCCTTTGATACTATTTTACGACATCTATTTTTTAGATAGCCAATCCAAATTTTCTCGTAAGATTATCTAACTGCTAAAACTTTAGTAAACTTATGCGTTCACATTTTCAAAAATTACGTCAATCATTACCTCTACAAAATTTGCCGAAGGGTGCAGAAAATGAGGTAAGGTGAAAAGAGACTAGGGGAATGTGCAGGCAGACAGGAAAGTGGGGAGGCCTTCATAGTAAAAAATTTATATCCCATCCATTTTCATAATACATGTTTTTATCTAATAGACAAAGCTCCTAAATTACTAGTTCAGAAGTAACTCGCCGAAGTATCAAAAAATTACGCCTTTTTAAAACGAGTTGATAATATTTAATTTAAATTGTGATTATGACCTAAAATTTTTTCCACTAGAACTAATTGGCTAGTGCCCAGCTAATCCTGGAGGTACCTATTTGATAATTTTTGCGAAGTACTAATGCGGAAGCTAATTGGTAACTTGGTACGTGTCAAAAATTTATGCAGCTTATGCAGTGTAGGTCCCTAAAATCTGTCTTTTTTCGATTGAAATGTAAATCTCAGAATTGTCAATGACGTTTTGGATAATAAATATGTTTGAATGACAAAAGTTGGATATTTCCCAAACTCAAAAGTGCCTCTACCAAATTATGGATATGCTGCTCGTGCAAAGCAGATTCTGAAACCTTCTTTCTTTCAATTAGAGCTTGAATTTTGAACTTGCCAAAGTAGATTCAGATAAAGGCGAGAAAGTTTCCGAAAACTGTAAAAACTTCAAAAATTTAATATTTACGAAGTCCATATTCGAATACAAAAGTAGAACACATTTTTAAACAAGGAAAAATTTGTTGTTTTTTTGATTAGACCCTTGTTGTTCTTTCGATCAGACCCTAAGTTTCAGAATTGGCAGGGACGTTTTCGAGAAAAAAGAAAAAGTTTTCAACTGTCAAAATTTATGATACAGCTTTTTCCTAACAACATTTTTCTACAAAATAAGAGTACTCGCTTACACAGGGAAGATCCAAATGACACCTTTTTTTGATTGAACTCCTAAAATCAGATTTGGCAGGGTAGCTTTTGAGAAAATTTAAAACAGATGCGAAACGGTTGTTTGCATCACTAGTGAAATAACGGAACACACCATTGTAAGCAAGCGAATAGAAAATGGGACGAAATAACAAAATCGAAAAATTTAGAAAATGAAAATATTTACAGAAAACCAGTAAAAAAACACAGACACCTGTATCAAATTAACTTTGAGTAATTACCTAGCAGCCACCAACCTGACAATAATTGGGTAGAAGCCCATTCAGCCGAAAGAAAACGCCATAATAAACTGCTGTCAAAAAAATGTTCAGCAAATAAGTTTTAAAAATCAACCCACCTGCAACACAAACTACTTGACTTCTTCAAAAATTAATCCTTTTGCCTTTACAGCGACCTACAATAAGGCAGATGAGATGATAAAACATAATAAGACTGAGGCAAATAGGCTGACAAAACAAAAGCATATAAATGAAAAAAGTTTCAATTTTACACATACTGAAAAAAACAAGGTACGGACTCGAACCCCAAACCTTAGGGTACAAGGTCAACCGCATTACTCTTAGGCCAAATGGGAAGGCTTATCTAAATTGCTAATGTTAACTGAAAAAGCAACTTTTCGATTTCTTACAGATTTGTAGAAAAAGCTGTCTACCGGAATTAAAAAAGTATAGTTTCCGATTAGAGTGCAAGTGCAAAAAAAATCCAAAGAATGGGTCTAGAATTCAATCGATTGAATTTTTCAAGGACGTAGAGAGTGGAACAAGGTAAACCTGCAGATTATGCAAACTGATCTTGCTAGTGGTGCCATTTTTGTAAAAACTGGAAAAAAATTCATCAAAGCGTCTGAAAAAACCATTCCCACCTATACAAAGTTTCATAATACCAGTTTTATCAAACAGGAATGAAACCTTGTTTGAGAGTAAGAGGTGAAAAAATACGCGTTAATTCCTCATTTGACGACAGCAGCTCCGAATTGAAAATCAATTTGAAAAGCGAGGTTCAAAATCAGACTCCCGACACTCACTACGAACAGTCCTTACAAACAATAAAATTTAATTTTTGAAAAATGTTGATAAAACAATTCTTGTCACACCCGCGACTCTTTAGAACCTTAGACAAATTTTATTAAAAAAAACACTCACAGTTAGTTGATAGAAAATCGTTTCTAATACCAACAAAAAGTGTGAAGGAGCGATTTCCGCAACTGCCAGTAAAAAACGGTGAAAATCTAAAACCTGATCAAAATACTACTAATTCGATGAGTAGCAAAACTAGCACATGACAGCAAAAAAAAACTTTTAATCGGCATGACTTTGTAACCAATACTGTTCTACAAAAAATTTCACGCAGCGAGAAGTAAGATACTTTTCTCATTTTTACTGGTCTTACCTTGCTGTCAAGTTTGTTAACTTGTTTTTAATGCTTGAAATCCGCTTTGTTATTTACAAAACAATCTGTCGAATTTTGATTTTAAAATAATCAAGGATTGCAGTTCATTATACAATTTGTATCTAAATTTACAGATAAATTAACATAAAATTTTATCTAAACTTTACAGGCAAAATACTTATCAAAAAATTACATTTCATTTAACACGAGCGAGTTTCAGATTTTTTCAATCATCGGTGATAAGAATCGCTTAGAGTTTATCATTCCACTAGTCGTTATCAAAATATTGACGTTGAACTTGACTGCGAACAACCTCATAATTGCGCATTCTAAGTAAGTCAGTCCTCCAACCAAACAAACTATGATAGATTTCACTTTCTTTTCGCTTCTATGTGCTTGCGAAGGTGTTTTACGTACGTTGAAACTTCCTCCGTAAAGCCTTGTCAACTCTTCGAATCTATTTGTGCAGATAAACTCGAGTACTTTGTATATTAGCGGGCAAAATGCTCCGTTTGTTGCATAGTAAGGATTATCAAACTTCGGGCCTTCGTTAACTGTATTAGCATTCGCTAAACATGCCAGTTTTTTAGCCCATGTTGCAAAAGTTGGCAGTTTTTTTGAAAACGGGTCTGAATTGCACACAATGAGGCCCGTTTGTTCTAAATGATTAAATGTAATTAAGTGCTCGTAGCCGTAAGAATGCAGAAAACGGGTCTTAATTAGTTTTAAATCATTGGAGGACAGACCTCCAGCTACCACTGAAAACAGACTGATGTTTCTAATTGCTGTTTCAATCGGCACTTGTTGACAGAAAATACTTTCCAAGTGACCTAGATCGCTTCGATCATAAGAACAGCTCGCGATTACAGACTGCTCTAACTGTAGTTGTTTCACCCTGGTATGTTTGCCTGCCGCTATTACCATGTCAACTGCAGAAAGTAGATTTTTGAGGATGTTGGACTCGTTTTGAAACTTTCTGAGGTCGTTGGCCACGAAGTTTTTCAAGTCGCTGATTCCTTTCAGACCTGATTTCGACTCTTTGATTTCATCTAATTCCTGAAATACGCTTCAGAGTTATAAATGTGAACTCTATCAACATTATACGAGCCATGCACAAATAAATCAATACTTCTTTTATCCGAAATTCAGATGAGAGTGCAGCCGCTGACATTATGCAACTCCAAAATGGTACAAACACGCCATTCCGGAAATCGCCCCCAAACAATATTACGTTTCAAGCAACCAAAACTCTTGCGTCCTTTTTTGGTGCGCGCTCTACACCAAAAAATAGCGTACTTTGGCGCTAACGACTACTTAAACTTAAATAGTTGGCGATCCGAAGACTTTAAAGGCGAAGAAATCGAAAGACAAGCTTCGCATCACGTACGATACAAAATTGCATGAATATGGCTGAGAAACATTCAAACAATTTTAAATATTAAACGAACTAGCATGGCCGTCTCCAATAATTAATCGATTCGCCGAAACTATTTGTTCTTATCAAGCAATGAAGCTTCAAACAATCTCAAGTAAAGCCATCGGTTCGAAAACTTTCAATTTCAAAGAACGAATCGGTCCGCGAAAAGTTGCAGTTATTTCAGACTAAAGGTTCGCGAGAAGTTCAAACTTTTCTAAGCCAGCTATTGCAGCTAGGAAATTTTGAAACATTCCAAGTTATTTCATGGATCGAATCCGTTCGCAAAAAGTTGAAGCTTTCTATGCAAGCTACTCAAGCAAGTAAACTTTGAAAAATTTCAGGTTGTTTCATAGAGAGAATCATTTGGCAAAAAGTTAATCAAGTTTTGAAAATGAAAAAAATCGAATCTGGATCTATCACTATCACAATGAATCAGTCTACCTTTGAAACACAAACAAGCCAGTCAAAAAGAATATGAACAATTCCCATTGGAATAAAACTTACCAATCTCTAACACGGCCGAAAAAACCTTAGCAGAAACCCTCTAAGCCGAAAAAAAATCGTTAAGAGTTATAAAAAGTTAAGACCCCCTCACCCTCAAAACACAAACAATAAATCTATTTGGCAATCCAAACGAAACAATTTGAGGTCACAGAGCCGATTTAATATAGTGCGGAAACTATTAGGCAGAAAAAAAGGAAAAGAAAACCAACAAAGCCGAAAAAAAATTTAAAAATAATTTAAGGGGAAAATATTAATTCCCCATCGCCATTACAATACACACACGCACTAACAAACTTTTTTGGCTCGTCGAAAGAAGCGAAATGCGGCCATTAAGCCGATATAATATAGCCCGAAACCTATCACGGAGGAAAAAAATTAAATAAGCCGAAAAAAAATGTTATGAAAAACGTAACTGTAATATCTATTAAGATTTTAACAATTTGTGCAATCTAGTGAGCACAAAAATTATATTTGTCTTGATACGACTCAAACAAAGTTATTTAGGGAAAAATTCTAGTACCCGAGTGCAATACCGTAGCTTATAGCATGGGTAATGAAGGGAACCAGATATCGAAAAAATGGGTTTTTATATTGGAGCCATCCAACCGATGAAACTTTGAAAAAGAAATTTACGAGAAATATTTTTCAGAGACTGAATCGGTTCGCGAAAAGAGCTCTATGCAAGCTACTCAATAAATGAAGTTTTGAAAAATTTCAAATTATTTCATAGCGCAAATCAGTTTGGTAGAAGCTAGTGTTTTTTAGGCATGGAGGTGGCTGTTTTTTGTTGATTTCATTCAGACTAAAGTGAATCAATCTGCAAACGCAAAATTTTGGATAAAAAATGGGCAGGTACTGTCAAGCCTGAAACTGAATCTAGTTCATCTTGTTGAAAAACTCTAAATTATTGAAAATTCTTGCCTAAGCGCCTCTAAAATATTGAGCTCAAGGGTTGCTCTGAATGATTCTGAAACCTTCTGCTCAAAGTCTTCTTGAACGTTGTGCTCGATAGAAAAGTTAAAACGTTGCGTCCATAGCGCATTAAGACATTTGTTTAATATATACTAGCGGGAACTTCGTTTTTCTAAGCATGCTGTTCAGGCGATGGAACTGAGTCATTTTAAGTTTTCATTGAGCAAACCGATTGGCGAAAGGTTTATGTTTTTCTAGGCAAGCTATTACAGCTTTGAAAGTGAAATTTTCAAGTTACTTCATAGATCAAATCGGTTCGCGAAATGTTATAGTTTTTAACAAAAAGCTATTCAAGCTAAAACAAAAACTTCAAAATATTCCTTACTTTTTCATAGACCGTATCCTTTTACGAAAAGCTCAAGTTTTTCTAAGAAAGCTACTAAAGCTCTATAAATTCGAATTATTTCATGTTTTTTCAAAAGGCAAATCAGTTTGCAATAAATTTGGCCTATGAATTTAAGACTTTCCACAAAACGATTCGGTCTATGAAGTACCTTGAAATATTTAAAAGCTTTTCTCAGCACGCTATTCATGCGATGAAACTTCAAAATAAGTCAAGTTGTTTCATAGATCTAATCGACTGGCGAGAAGTATCAGGTTTTATATTTAGGCAATAAACTTTTGATTTATTCCATGTTTTTGCAGAGCAAATCGATTGGCGAAAAGTGTGTTTTTTAAGCACGATCTGCAAGCGATGAAACTTAGAAATAGCGCAAATCGGTTCATAGCGCAAATCGATTTGCAAAAAGCTAGTTTTTCAAGCAAGGAGGTCGCTATTTGTAGTTGGTTCGTTTCAGAATGAAATCAATCTGAAATGGCAAAAATTCGGAAAAATGGACAGGTGTTGACAAGCCTTGAAAATGAACTGAGCTTATTTTGTCAAAAAACTTGCATCTTTGTCAGAAATAATTAGAACATTCCAGACTTTAAAAAGTTTGAAAGTTAGAGAATATTCTAGGACTTCTCTGAAACGTAATGACTAAGGAATTTGATAAACATTGCATTTGACAAAACTAAAACAATGCGTTCAGTTAAACATTGCGTCCATAGCACATTCCGACTTTCATTTAATAAATAAGATAAGATGACAGTTAAATTGACGCTTTAGATTCTTTAAACTTTTCGCCATCCGAATTGCTTCATAAAAAAACTTGAAGTATTTCAAAATTTTATAGCTGGAATAACTTGGTTAAAAAAATAAATTTTCGCTTTTTGGCATGAAATACTTCATTAAATGCAATATTTCTAAGTTTCATGGCTTGCTTTGAAAACTCCAAATTTTAGCGTACCTATTCGGTCTGAAATAACTTGAACTAGCGTTTAACACACCTTCGGTAATTCGAGTTTTTAACAAATTTTTAAAAACCGCAGACAATGAAAATAAGATCGGCATCCTTTGAGTGTACTTTGACAGCGCCCAATTACAGGAATGGTAATTTCAAATTTTGTAAAAAAAAAATTTTACTGCTTGGAAAAACCATAAAATTCTGTTAATTTCTTTGAACATTTTTAAATGACATCAACAAACGCCACATCTCAGGAATAATAAGCAAATGAGCATTCGCATTGGCATGCAAAATTTGTAACTTCTGAGAGTACTCTCACAGTACCCAACTACAGCGTTGGGAATTTCAGATTTTGAGAAACTTCAAACTTAAACTGTCTAAGAAAACTTTTTGAAAAACCATAAAAAACGTCATATCTCAAAAACACAAAGAATTGAGCAGCCATAATTGAAGGCAAGTTTCGCAACCTCTGACAGCCCGCAACTACAGGGTTAGGAATTTCGAAAATTAAAAAAAATTAAATTTAAGTTTTCTGTAAAATTTTTGAAAAAAAAAACACAAAAAACGTCAACTTGTGAAACTACAAAGATTTGAGCAGTCAATTTTTGGAGCAAAAATTTTCAACCCCAGAGAGTACTTCGACAGCCTCGAACTACCGGGTTGGGAGCTTCAAAATTTGAAAAGAAAATTAAATATGTGTTTTTTGATTTTGTTTTGAAAAATCACAAAAAACGTCATCGCCATATCTCGAAAACTACAAGAATTTGTACCGCCAGATTTAGAGGCCAAATTAGCAACTCCTGGAAGAGCAATGGAAGCACCTACCTCAATATAAAGATGTGAACTTCAAATTTTGTAAAATTATTTATAACTGAGTTCTTTGAACAACTAAAAAAAGAGACATAACAAACGTCACATCTCGTAAACTAAGCGCATTTGAGCCGTCATATTTGGACGCAAGATTTGCAAATTGCAGCTCGTGAGAGAACCTTTGCAGTACGAAACTATGAGGTAGAGAATTTCAAATTTTCTGAATATTTCAAAATTTAAGTTTTCTGAAAAATTAAAAAGAAATCATAAAACACGTCATATCTCGAAAACTACAAGGATTTGAGCAGCCATATTCAGTGGGAAAGTTCGCAAAACCTGGGAGTACCTTGACGAAGCCTCACTATAGAGATGGAAGCTTCAAATTTTGTGAATTTTTTTATTTAAGTTCTTTGAAAAAATTCTAAAAAACGTCATATCTCGAAAACTATAAGGATCTGAGCAGTCATATTCAGAGACAGGATTCGCAGCCACTGAAGGCACCCGCAGAGTTTCCAACTACACGATAGAGATCTGCAAAATTTTTGAATATTTTTAAATCTAAGTTTTTTGAAAATTTTTGAAAAAAAATCATAAAAAACGTGATATCTCGAAAACTACAAGGATTTGAGAAGCGAGATTTCGAGGCAAGACTCGCAATCCCTGAGAATACCCTGACGGCACCCAATTACAGGGTTGAGAAGATCAAATTTTGTGAAATTTTTCAAATTCAAGTTTGCTAATTTCAAAATTGATGAAAGAATCCTTGACATCAAACTGGAAAATCGAAAAAAAAAAAATTCTTAACCATTTCAATGTACGATATAGCTTAAACGTGAAAAAATTCTTTCGTTAAACATGCAAAAATAAAACGTTGAAAAAACTTGAATATGGCGAGATAGTGAAGCCCGCATTTAAATATATAATAGATAGATTAATTCAAAACTAAACTTCATAACTCGAATATCTTGAAATGTTCAACTTTCTTAGCTTAAACAGCTGCTTGAAAAAAAAACTAAAACTTTTCGTACCAATTTCAAAACTTCATCGCTTGAATAGCCTACTAAGAAAAATTTTTGCCAACTTTTTGCCAACCGATTCGCTTCAGGAAATAATTTGAAAAGTTTCTTAGCTTTAATAGCTTGCTTAACAAAAATTGGATTTTTTTCTCGAACCGATTAGCTCTACGAAACAACTTGCAATAATTCAAATTTTCATCACTTGAATGGCTTCAATAGAAAATCTTTAGCTTTCTACCAGCCGATTGCTTCATGAAAGAACTTGAATTATTTACCCTCGAGATAAGCAAGGGTATTGCAATCGGGTACAAGACTTTTTTCCCGTAAATAAATTTGTTCACAGGACTCACCTCCTGGATACACTTGCAAAATTGACCTTAAAACTTAAATTCTTAATCAACAGCCAGTCAGGTCATAGCATACATTGCAAAATCTAGACTCAATTGCCAGTTTTTTACTACTGTAACATGACAATAACTTTCCAAGATACTGAAAAACTAAGCTTAGGATAGTCCAAAAGGAAAATTTTGCAAAGATGGTTTGTAGCTTGAAGTATGTGTCCAATTCAATAGCGATATCATCGAGAGCCTGGAAACATCTAGTACTCGCTTGCAACACTCTTGCTAATCGCAAGGGTAAATATAAAAATGAACTCTGATTTTGTAAATTTTCCGAATTATTTAATTAACAAAAAAAAACAGCCCATCTAGTCTACTTTGATGAATCTTTCTGTAATTTTATATTTTCGGCCCAATGAAACCATTTTCAGCATAAATATACAACAGAATTGAAAAAAGAAACAAAATAAACAAATACCGATTTATCCAGTATCGGAAACAAAACGAAAAAAATTAAGCAAATACCAATATATTCAGGTTGTATTGATGATTTAACAGACGACAGACAAGACACAAAGCTGACTGCATTTTAGGGCGTAAGAAATAAACCAAACGAAAACAAGAAAGCCGCTAAGTCCATCTCGCCCTCAAAATACACGGACACATTTAACTTTTTTTGCTCGTCATTGGAAACAATATGAGGCCACTAAGACAATATAATATTTGCCGAAACCTATTAAGCCGAAAAATGAAAACAAAAAAGCCGAAAAAATTTCAAAAAGACACTAAGTCACCCTCGCCCTCAAAACACACACGCACATAAAAAAAAATTTCACTCAACGAAGGACCTAATATGAGGCCATTTAGCTGATTTAGTATCAGCCCAAACCTATCAAACGGAAAAAAAAACAAAAAAATGGGTGTCATCAAAAAATAAATAATTTCTTTTGTGTTTAAGCATTTTGCGCAATCTCGAGGTGCGCATAGAAATTACCTTTCCATTGAGACGACTCAAAAATAGGACACGAAGCCGACGAAAAATAAGCATAAATCATTTGGGTAGAAAAAAAATTTTAAGTGATAAAAAAAACAAAAAAATAGCAAATCGAAGATTTCAAATGAGTAATGAACGCAAGTAAGCATCAAACACCACTGACTTTCTAGAAAAAATCTCAACTTTCGAATTTAAAAAAAAATAGATTTAAGCTCTTTGAATTTCTAGAACAATTTATGATCGGCGCTTTTTCGATAATATGAACTCAACTAGAGAAAACTCGATCAATAGGTAACGTTTTTATTCCGCTGGAAATCTAAAATTTAAATTCCACTTTCGAAACCGTTCAAGTTTTTTGCGCCATTTCCACGTTCGTATTTGGAGAGTGCTTTTACGTCACTTTCAGCAGGTGAATTTCAATTTAACTCAAAAAGTGCATATATACTTAAGTGCATTCATAAATGCATCAACATGTATGAATGCACATCTGTAGTAATCAGAGACTAGAAAAAACAAAAAAAAATTTGCGAGACCTATATAAGAGTCTTCACTACGTTCATTACAAATAAAAAACAAAAAATACGAGTCAAGCTTAGTTAAATTATAAACAGAAGAAAAAATCAAAAAAATTCTACGATGTTGCAACTAATCCGACAAAACAAAAGCAGACAAATAATAGGCCAAAAATTTTTTGAAACGGAATATTTTCAGTTTGAAACGGATTATCTTCATATGAACAGAACCTCAACTTACCATTGCTGATTTTGATTATTCTGCCAACAAAAATATTTACAGGAAAAAATGTCTAGTACACGATTGCAATACACTTGCTTATCGCAAACGTAATCATATAAATCCGCATGCACGCAGCTTCCAAATCAGCTTTCAAACACCCTTCTACTGATCAATTAATCGTAATTAACTTTACCGTTAAGATTTTGATGATGGCATTTGGAATGTTTAAAGAAAACTGAACCTTCAAAACCTAGCCAACAGACAGTTGGAAAATAGTCATGAACCCAAGCAAACAAAAATAGTTTACGATTGACACTTTTTAAATAAAACTAACCCAATTTAAGAAAACTGGATCACTAGATAATTTTTTTTATTTTGCTGTGAAATTTACAAATTCAAAACCAAAAGTCGATCACATTTTTCGTGAACTTTTACATTTAACAAAGGAAATGAACTTAACTTCAAAAGAAACTTGAAGTCGAACCACAAAAAAAATCGAAATTGAGTGTGAACAAGTTTTTAGACTTTTCCCTATAAAAAAATCACCAAGACCTATATGAGTATTCACTACGTTCGTGACTCTTAATAAAAAGAGTGCTGCGGGAAATAAGCTGACAAAGAATAAGCTGACAGAAGTTGTCCGGAAAAGCAGAATATTTCCAGTTTGCAAAAAAAAACAGGCCCCGGCATGATTCAAACTCCAGGCCCTCGTATCTTCAAGCATAAGTTTGAACCTCTAAGCGCTGAATGGTTCATTAAGTGAAAAGGATAAGCGTCCCCCAATCATATATCCGTAACCGATTTAATCGATATCTACCTGTAGCTTGGCTCTGACAAACTCCGAAACTTGAGCGAAATGTAGATCTTTAGCTTGGGCGAACACTTCAATTTCAGGTCCCAGTGTGAGAATTGTTGGCGCTGCAGACGTCGTAACGCCATCTCCTTTTTCTTTTGAAGGTTCCACTGCTGGTGGCGTGAACTCCATGTAGCAACAGTTAATTCCAAAGTGGTCGTCTAAGGCTCCTTGGAATGTCAAAGGCGATAAAAGTGGTGAAATTAGGTCTTCTCCGCGGTCCATAAGTAAAACGATATCCGTATCTGAGTCTCCATCATCATGTGCCTAAAAACTGAATACTTTTTTCGTCGCAATGATCTCGACTTATTTCACTTTGACAGCGAGCCAAAGTAAAACAGAGCACATGAACATAAATCAGCCATTTTAAACAGAGCACATGAACTTTTTCTCCTAATAGCTATTACATCTCTTAAAATTTGATAAGAATAATTGTATTATCGTACTAGTTTATCTTGAGTCAATTGCGCCTCCATAAGATCAGAGAGAAGTTTAGAGAGACTTCCCATTGCATACACGGTATGAGGCACACCGAAGAAGCCCTGAACAGTCCACAATGCAGAAGACAACAAAGACACACCACTGTAGTCTTTATCCAGTAGAAACTCTTTATACAATGAGGGCATTTCAAGTGACACCAGGTCGACATCGAGCGGCAAAAATTCTAGAGGTAGTTCAGTACAAGAAACGATGTCAAATAGTCCCTCCATTTCAATTAGGTTTCGAAATGATTCGGTCATTTTTGGGACTATTAGAAGGTGAAGCCCAACAACTCGCTTGCGAGCATCGACTATTTCTACGAATTGTTTGAATTCTTTCAATATTGCTGTTTCCGGTCGAACGAGAAATAGGACCTGCAACAAAAACACGGAAGACTTGTAGAAACTAGCAAAGATGTTTCCAGTTATTTTGAAACAAGCACCAAACCAATATTGTTTAAGAAATTGTTCACAAAATGGATATCAAAATTTTAAATAACACTAACGCTCACTAAAGTTCGATTGTATCAATAATACACCAAAATAATCCACCAAAACAATACTCACATGAAGGTTTTCCTCGACAAAATCCACTGTTGCGCAGTAATCTTCTAGCTTATAAATTTTGGAAATTCCACATGACTTCAAAAAACCAGCTCCACACATGCGGTCCAGAGGTCGCATTAAAGTGGTCTGTATGACTAAATGCTTTTCACCTGATCCAACTGCTCTGATGCATTCCGTGATCTTCTTCTGGCAGAGCAATTTTAAATTACTCACATCAAAAGCCACCATTACTTTCGAAAAAAATCTTTTATTTAACTACTTTCAACTGACTTATACAGAGTAAACGACAGGCTGACAGTTGCGGTTGCAAATTTACTGAAAAAAGAGGCTGATAAAAGTTAGTATAAATTATACAAAGCTTTCAGCGATAATTACTCCACCGAAAAAGTTAAACTGCCTGACGATTAGTATTTTTTTTTCTTTTCTTTCTTCTTTTTTTTGTAATCAGAAGGTCAAAAGTATCATATGTAATATTCAGCCCAGGACGCATCATGGAAGCAATCCCTTCTCGCCCGCTGCGCCGCGTTCCAATCCATGCGATTGTGCCGGTGGTATATGCCCTCCGTGTTCTTCTTGTAGCTTGTGATCACCACACTCCTGACCGGTTGCTCTCTCCAAGTCGGGGGTACCTCCACTCGAGCTGGACTCCTCCCAAATTAAAATTCCTCCCAAAATTGCGTGTTTCGTGTTTCTCAAGGTCAAACTTCCAAATATGACCGACTGACACAATAGTAACCGAAGTTACAGTCAGGAGTCCCTTCATCACGTATTCCAGTCAAAATCCTTGAAATTTTCTAGATATGGAAGTGATAATGATAAAAGAAGATGACAAGTGTTGATGTCCTTTTCAATTAAATTCGATACGGGTTACGTTTCTGCAATAAACACACTCGTATCTAGAATCCCCAAAATGTGGATTTTAACGATACCCGTTTGACCAACTCGAGAACACCCCCGTCCTCTCTTGTTGCTCTGACCGTGCTGGTTGTTTCCTTAACCTGTCCTGCAGCTGATCAACAGCACCACTTTCCCACTTGGCTGGTCACCTGTTCCAGTCAAGTCTCCTAATGGTCCAGCTAAGTCCCTGTGAACCACTTTCCCACTCGACTGGCCACCTGTTCCAGTCAAGTCTCCTAATGGTCCAGCTAAGTTGCAAGCTATCTGAAAACCCTTCACAACGCCCCACACTCGGGCACCCTTCAGATTGCTGAAATGATCGAAACGATTGGTCTTATAAAAAAAACAGTATGGGTATACTGTTTAATTAATATAAAGGCTTAAAATGCCTAGAGAATCTCCCTGCACTTTTGAGGCAAGAAAGACCATGCCAACCATCCTCGGTAACGTCTTTTCCGCACACGCTTTTATGCCATTCGCATATTCGAAGTCCTACCGCAATTCTGAGATTTTGATTCAAACGTTTTAACCTTAATTTTTGCACGGGTTGACGGATTTGTGCACGGATTTCCAAATCTATCGTGGAACGCGTTGAATCTTTTTACGTCCGTTGGTTCGATTCGTAAAATCGAGTCTGCAATTTCGCTGTCAAAAGTTGGCTCTGTCCAATTTTTTTTGGATTTCATTTTCCGGAACAATTTCAATTTTTCCAAACTCAAACCACTATTTAAGCGCATCATCATAGGTTTCATCCATATGCTCCAAACCAAGGATTTCGCTCAAGGCATTTTACTGCTGAGGCTAAGAAAGCGGTTAAAGCGAGTAGACGAGCGGAACAAACGCCCAATCCACCTTTGGCTGCCGGAAGAACTGCTGGTAAAAACTGGTTATCATCCGTTTTCACATTAGTGACCTTGCATAACGAATTTCTTAGTAATTTGTCGTAGCGTTCCAAAAAATCATTTTGCAAAAATTAGGACTTGTACGCAAAAAATCTAGGAGTTTTGGCATGCTAAAGCAATTTTTCAGGAGATTTTTTTGAGCTCCTCAATTTTTTCGTCGAGCATTTCTTTTCGGTGAAGTTCGCCGATTGGAGATCCTAAAATGAGGAGTTCTTCTTTTTGTTTTTATTTTAATTTTTGAAATTGTGTTAAAAATGAACTATACTGTGTACTCGTAATCGGTCCCAAAAAACAAAGTTCGCACTTCTCAGTGTTCAAACTCAGGCCGTAAATTTGTTCCGATTTCAGAATGTTTTTAAGGTCCCGGATCAATACCTTAGTCGTCGGCTAAATTTCCATCATCTAAATACCAGATGAGAATTTCCGACTCCAACTGTTTGACTAGTGTCAGAATTGTTTTTCGCAAAAAATAGTGGTGCTTCAGGATCACCTTGCTGAGCTCCGTCTTCTGACATTATGACAGAGCTTCCGTAAAAAAGGCAACTAGGTTTACTATACGCGCAATGGGTGTAATTATACGGTTCGGGGCGATTTGAATAAACATGATTCAGCATTGTTTCTCTATTTAGCGAGCTAAAGGCATTCTTAAAATCTAGTTTTAAACGAACAGTGCTTTTTGGATCGTCGTCGCGTTCATTTAGGTTTCGAAAAGAGTGTGCAGCTATTTCTGCTCCTCGTTTGGTACCGCATCCTACCTCTACGTTTCCGAAAAAATTTTATCACTCGGAGAGGGCCTTGCTTCCAGTGCATTTAGACGCGAGACGTCTCAGCGTGTTGCCTATGGCAATCAGTCTCAGCCCTTTGTCTATCTTTATGAGGGCGATAAGCTTTGCGCCCAAAAAGAAAGTTCTTAGGGTTTCGGGTTTTTTACTATCTTCGTTGAGGTTTATCAGCTTAGTAAGCGATTTCAGAAAAATAAGTCCTGCACCGCCATTCGACTTACTAACAAGATCTTTAAAAGTTTGAGGAACTGTTTTATCAAGACCTGCGGCTGATCCGTTCGGAAAGGAGATTAATGCTTTGTATAGGTCGAAATCGGTTTCGAAAAAACTATCTAAATTTTCTGGATTTGGAGCTGCAAATTTGGCTCGCTGAGAGTGCTTAGACAACAATTTTTGATAGTTATCAGTTGAAAAATGAGCAGTTTTGTTATCCGAAGCAGCAAGCCTTATTCCTCCCTTTACATTTTCTTCATCGAGCTTACTACTTATTAGCTTTATTCTCTGTTCGAGGTCACTCAGAGGCGGGCTTGAAACTCGGGGATGGGGTTTTGGAATTGACACGTGATTTGCTCGGATTTTTTGATTTGTCAGAGAGCTCATGCTTGTGGTCTGTTTGCGTCCACTTCTTTTCGGTTGCTCCAAATAAAACAAGAACGACATTTAAAAAAATTAGCCATTTTGTAACATCTTCTAGATTGTAGACGATGTCCTTTATTTTTTCCGACAGACTTTCCGCCAAGGGAACACGCGAGTCTTCTGGTACTCTCTTGAGCACTCGGACATTTGAGATGGCTGTATTAACATAATTGTCTAGCACTAAACCATTACCTTTTGTTGCTTTAATAACAGGTTTTACATCAACATATAAAGGACACTGAAACCATTGGGTTTTCTTAGAGTCGCTAAGCGAAATATTCACACAACTGATATGATACCAACTCGAACAACAATCACATCCAATCCAATTTATCAGTCCTAAAGGTTTTAAGCAATCTTTGCCTGTACACTCTTTTCTGTTTTTCCTCATCTTGAGGCAGCATAAAGGTTAAAAAAAATTTTGACTGGACTTTAGGGGACTAAACTAACCAATGATAAGTGGTTATTGGGAATTTTATAAATCTGCAAATAAAAAAAATACAAAACAATTAAATTAATTTAAAGTTTAAAATCGAACTACAAAATCAAAAACAAGGAACATTCTCATCCGAGCTCAGTAGGACCAGCGTGCACCACCAGACTCTTCAAGCCAGTTCCAGTTTCCCACCTCCCCACAGAAAGTCACTCGACAGACTTGTCTCTAAAACCTCTCAGAGGGCGCTCCACAAACAGGCACAAACATCAAACATAACAAATCTATTTAATAAGTTTATCACAACAAAATGAAGTGTTCTTTCTTCTTCAATACGAACACGTACATACCAAAAACTTAACTCCTTTAACTTAACATTTGATGTGAAGAAATTCCAGCTCTTGTCACTGTAGCTACTCAATCAAAACTTTTTACCCCAAAAGCATACCTTGACTGCTTGGATGGCTGTAAATTTGCGTTACTATTAAAAGGTCAATAAAGAAAAAAAATCGAAACTTCGTAGCATTCGCTCGGTAAATTAATAAATTTATTAATTTAATGTGATATGCTTCATGATTGAGCCTTTGTGTAGAGCGCGCATTTAGGGATGTTGAGACAGGTCTACGTTGAATTTTATAATAAAAAAGAGTCAAAATTGTTTCACTGCCCAAACCCTTTCCACAAAATTCGGGCCCGCGCCAGACAGTTCTCGAGCACAGAATAAAGGTAAGCAGCAGCGAGCTCGATTGGTAAAATATTCATCGAGGAACAAAGCTGCCCGCTTCAGATAACAAAATAGCAACCTTTGCGACACTTAACTAAGAGAAATTGGTAAATAAGCGCCCAAAAAAGCCGATTTAAGAACCCTTGACCCGGAAAACGTTGATAGTGTTTTATTTTGTGGCTGAGATTGAGGTGTACAGAGCAATTATGTTCTTTCCCAATGAGTCGGAAGCCCTTCCCGACAAAATTGGTCCCCAAGTTTTTGACGACCTGATTTTTCAATCAAACGGCAATTCGGGGTTCAATTTTTTGAAAAAGCTCAACAAGCTCCTCAGTCCTATAAGAAAAAGTAAAGTACCTGAATTGCTGGGACCTTTTCTAAGGAACAAAGTCTGTCGTCCTTTTTAAAATAGACGGAGGTGCGCGATCCATTGTCATCGGCAACAATTTCAAACGCATCGCGTCTAAATGAGCAGAAAGCAAGGCTTTTAACGAGCGAAGAATAATTTGCGGAATTTTCAGGTGAAAGGTATGCCATTTGTTCGGAGTGTCACAGTCGAACCTACCGATGCAAATGGAAAAAGACGTTAAAGACGTTAACAGTTAACTTGTTATGAAAAAGAGGGCCAAAATATTCTATAAAAAATTTTCAAAGTTTCAATTGGAGCTAGGATAATTCTCAGAAACAAAAAAAAGGTCATTTTGTCCTAAAAACACAATAAGAACAGACAACCGGATTGATGAGACAAAAAACAGTCGAAAAAACAACAAGGGAAAAACGAAGCCTCTCATCGTGATAGCACGACACGATAAGCGCTTAACTGAAAGAGATCAGACCGAAGGAGGGTCCATTGGGACATCCGGAGGGGATCCGTACTTTCCCGTGCCACGAAAATGGGAAGATAACGACGTTATCTCCGTGGGAACACGAAATTGGAGGCCAGTGCCCAGAGACTATTAGAGACTTTAGAGACATTTCTTTATCTACTGTAATGCCCTGAACGATTTAACTAACTCCATTATTGTTCAATATTTCAGAGCATGAGTAGTTAGAAAAGAGGAAAGAGTCAATCTATCTCCAATGGATTTAGTCTATAACTGTCAGCAAAAGCAGAGCAAATTATGGTTTTCTAGTCGTGCTTTTGATAGTAATAATGTAGTCTGGGGATCCGAGACCCAGCTATGTGGTTGTTTTCGCATGTAGACGGAAGCTGATCAAAAGTCGTTTGGCTGATGGCCTGAAAACCGTAGCTTTTTACTTAGCCCTTAACAGACCCGAAGAATATCTGGCTAGATCTAGACCGTTAAAAACGAGAATAATTAAGAAAAATGACGTCAGCCAGTCGTCAGTAAGTACTTTTTCTACGCTCCGTCACTGTGTAATGTATGGGCGAATGTTACAAAGTGGTACTAAATGAGGAGCTCAAATTGCTGCACAACACTTTTAGAAACATGATAGCGCGTGATGGCAACGCAAAACGCTCAGTTTTAGACGAAACTGGATCACGCTTTTCGAATTTTCCGGAGTTGTACAAAACTACTCCTTGTGCCTAAATAAAACGGAGTTAATTTTTTCACGGATATTTCATCATAATGTCGGAGGACAGAACACAAGGAGGTGACCTCGAGGCTTCACCGCTGTTAGCTGAAACAAAACAAACGCTGTTAATAAGGCTTGAATCCATTTCGTTTTTAGATGATGGAAATATAGCCCACAATTATTAGAGTGCTACGAGACGTTAACAAACATACTGAAAAAGGAAAAAAATATCGCTTCAGCCTTAAACCGAAAAAAAAAATAGATTTTTTTTAGACGGTCCACAAATAGCCAGTACAATATAATTATAGGTCTGTTTTAAAAGTATATCCAACAATAAAAATCAAATCCAAGGATGAGTTTGTAATCGTGGGTTCTCCGATAGGCGAAGCTTCTCCCTAAATACAAAAAGCTGGGATGGAGCAAATTCAAAAATTATTGATAAACTGGATGCATATTAATGATTTTGTCTCTCCTAAAATTTATTTTAGCATGCCGAAACTGCTATATTTGTTACGAACAACTTCTGGTTTTTTGCATGGCGATTTTTTGGAAAGATACGCTCGAAAATTAAGATAATTTTTATATAAGGTAGCAAAGGTTAATTTGAATGAAATCCAGTTGTTGCAAACAGTTTTTCCGAAAGCCAAATCCGGCTTGGGTGTTTCGTCCATTCGCCTACTAGTTTTACCCGCATTTGTTCTCTTTACCCTCAGTAGTAGCGAAAAATACTCTCTGTGAAATTTTCATTTTGGAGTAGAAGGATGAAACATAGAACGATGCATAAAAACTTTGGGTTGATAAGCAAAATGCGAAGTAGCTCCCGAAAATTGAATCCAAAAAAAATTGTTCGAGGCACCTTTGCGATAACGAAGTTGAATAAAAAAAATTTGGAAACTGTTACCTAGTGATGTAAAATGGCTCAATTCTTACCAGGATAAGTTCGTATCGCACTGTTTGAGTGTCATTACCTGTAAACAATCTAAGGTTTAAGTTGTATTAGAATTGCAATTGGATTCCGCTCAAGTTCAAAAAATTGTGAATAAACACATAGATGCTTTTGCGGTTAAGGTGTAACCGAAGATGGGCTGTAAGACCTATCTTGTCTGAAAACTGCAAGGAAATCCTCTGGCCATTCAAATTTGTATGCCCCGATAAAGCAAATTTTCGCCTCCACTCATGTTCTTTCTGTTTTACAGCCAGGACAACTCCACAGGACAGATCAAAAACTGACATACGGCTTCACCCTTGTCTCATATGCTGCTGGCAAGCAGTTTCTGTGAGATGTAACGGTAGCTGACTCCCTAACTTGTAGTAAATAAAGCGCAGGATTGGTTTGTAGTCACAAAACGGCGGCAGCTGAAACAAAAGATAGCAAATCTGACTAGTGAAGAGACTTATTAATGATGGATATAATTTTCAACCAATTGTATTTAAAGTTCAAGGTGCCGCCGACGCTAGCACTGTGATTTTTTTAAATGAGCTCTGTAAGAGTATGAGCACGTCTATTGAGGAACCCAGAGCAGGAAATTTTTCTTCAGCAGAAAATCTTCCTCGCATACAGGTTGCGAACGCTGCTTGTGTGCTCGGCACTATTAAATAAATATGTTGGATTGGTTTTCAATCATTCAATCATTTCTGAATAAATTCAATTCACAACTTAATTCAAAAAAATTTAAGTCATCAAATCAAAATAAATTGGTTTCGAATGGTGCTTGTTTTTCGTTGCTTGTTCACAGTTGTCATCCTGTGTTTTTATCTTCAAACATCTCATATTCTTCGAAATATTATGCAAATGGTGTCGAAATTCTAATATCATAGGTCAGTTATGCGCGATGAAAGCCCCAGTTAACAGCGTGTGAATTTTTAGAATGCCATTCCTATTGTGTAACCGTCCTCAACGCCGAGGAATCGCCATTTGGATCTTGTGCCTCTGATGCAAATGTTGGTTGCTCTTAGTATAGCGAATGAAATTCTACATCTCACCCAGCACATGACATGACTATATGGGCGGTCCCATTTTGATGCCGGACCATCTGCTAGTCGTTTGAGGAAAAACGTGAACTCTGGTGCCAAAACACCATCTATTGAAGTGACAAGTGGAGTGAAAGACATATGCTTTTCTTCACAAGCCGGTCCATACTTATTTTTCTTTTCAATCTCTGCAGTTTTCAGTACATTCATGGGATTGCGGTTTTGGTAAGACGGAGCGTCAGTGTCTGTAACACGGATGTCGAACGACGCAGCCGACTGTCTATCCCAAACCCCACGAGCTGAAAGATCTGCAATTAGTGCCGGGGTTCCATTTTCTATATTTGGTTCTTTTACGACAGGTTCTCTTTTCACATCTTTCCACAAAATTGAAGCAAGATCGCCCACTGCGTCTCTTATTTCGTTGTGTCGTAGTGTTACCAGTCCGCCCTTCTTGCAAGAAAGTGCACGCTGTAAGTCAAAATCTTGTTGACATCCATCGCATCTCGAGAAAGAACGTTTGAGTGGTTTTCTGTACCTGACACATAGAGCGTCTCTGAACTCTGTGGCTGACAAATCAAAATTATCTTTCAACAAGGGCAGCGAAGTTAGCCACAAGGAACAGTTGTTGTCGATTATTCTCCGGATCGCTCGTTTCTGATCTGCTGGTAAAACTGCAAGCAATTCATCGAGTTTATCTTTGTCCACAGCATTTTGTTTCTCCTCGTGATTTTTTCTTGCTTCTCTCATCTTTGTTTTGTGTAGAGTTTGTTCGAAATCATCTTGGTGAAGGATCGAACTCACGAGACAGTCGGTTGCTTCACGTGAAGTGGAAAATGCTAGTTCGGCACCTTCTGTTGGATTTCGTACACCTAGTCCCCCTCTTTTGACAGGAAGTGAATACAAAACACGATCTGAGTGTGTGACACTAGAAGTTCCTAGTAAGCTTGGCAAAAATTTTTCCTCCAGCATCTTCTCGAGAGGAGCAAACAGCTGCGACGTATCTTTGACTACTCTCTGGACAAAATTCCATTCGCATTGCAGTGATCTTGTTAATCCAACTAAAGCAGCTTGAGG